GACAGAGACAGTTGCCGTGCTTGTGCAACGGTGTTCTTACATCTAGTTCGGCGCAAGTACAACCAATTGACAAGAAGCAATGCAAACAGCTGTGAGTGAAACCTGTACAGTTTTGGAGGCATTCTCCCATCGCAATGGTATGAAAAGCCAAAAACGGAAAGCAACTTCAGAAAGTCTTTAAACACAGCTCCTTACCAAGTCCTTCCTAGGTAAAAGCCAAGGAAAGCGGGTGAAAAGGCCCCTACTAAACCGAAGAAGAAATCCTCGTGAAACAAAAGTTTGAACTCAGCAGGAATCATGATGAACAAGTTCAGCAAACCCCCGATGAAGAGCCTCAGCAGAGGGGCCAACAAAGTCCTCCTGCCCATTACGAAACGTCTCTGAAGCCCCTAAACCCTTATATAGAAGCCTAAATAATTACCAATACTACTGCTAGGGTTCCTTATGATAATAGTACTATAAATAAAGGAGCCCAAAACCCTACTCTAATTATTTAGGCCCCTACATTATCTAACCAGCACTCCCCAGGACTTGGCTTGCGTTCTGCGCCTTGAGAGCCTCCTTGTCATGGCGTCCGACGAAGCGCGGAGGCCGCCAATCAAAGAAGAGACGAAAGGTTCCAGGCATACAGCTCTTTGGGAATTTCGGAGAACATGGGGCATCATAATCTACAGCCCAAAGAGTAAGCTGCTTATCAGAACCCGTACGTAGGGTAATTATCCCTGATTCGAAATGGCGGCTTCGGTGTTTTCGAGTCCAGAAGCATAGCCAAAACTGTCAGCTGCTGCGATGATGCTGCCGTCGCAGATGTTGCAAGCACTCACTGGGCTAGCAAAGTGCCAGCTGGCGAGCTGGTGCTCATGATGCTTTTTCAACGAGGAATACCCTAGACCCTCAATCAGAGCGTCATGCTGCTTCAAGGAATTCCAAGCTCTCCTTTTTCGTGGACTCGCGCGCAACGAGCTCGGAGGGTTCAGGGTCTGGGTGCCGATGGCTAGGGGCTGAGGGCTTACATCTGGCTTCAACTACCTAGTATCTCTATTTTAAGGGATGGTTTGACCTGTAGCTACGGGGATGAGAACCAGTTGTTAGGCAGTGGAGCTACAGATACCTCTTGGTTTACATGAGATTTGGGTTTAGGTTTTCGGGGTTGCTCGTTCAGGACCAAGGCGTAGAGGTCACAGCCTGACAGAGGGAGCTGTGCTGTGCATTGTGCTGCTCCGGTGCCTAGAGCTAAACGCACACCAGAATGAACGATTGGCAGGAAGAGTTTTCGCGCGTTTGATATCGGGGCCTGAATAGTCACCAATACCATTCAATACTATTCCTTAGGGTTCCTTAAGATAGGAATTCGGGCTTCGAGCGGTTGATTGCACCGATCCGGCTTTATTCTAGGCTGCGCTGATGCCGAAGGGGGCCTTCTTATCGAACCAACATAAACCTTCCTGACGTGTCTGGATCTCGGACCTGAACCCTACATTACTCTAGGGGAAACTTTTTCCATAAGTATATCGGGACTTTATGAAACTAGTATCGCTGAGTGTTCAGACCCTATTAGTTAGTGCATAGGGCATTCTGCGACCAAGGACAGAACCCACCCGCCCCTATCCACCTTTTTCCGCCGGTTTTTGAAAGGTAAACCCTAAACCCTAAACCCTAAACCCTAAACCCTAAACCCAAACCCTAAACCCTAAAACCTAAACTCTAAACCCTAAACCCTGAAGTGTTGTTGCCAATTCGGTGTTGGCTGGATGTTGGCGTGTCGAGTTTCCGGTTGTGTTCCAGCAACAGTCCCGGTTCTGTGCGGTGATGGCAGAGAACCGTTTTAGGGTTTTGGGTTTAGGGTTTAGAGTTTAGGGCTTTATAGGGTTTAGGGTTTAGGGCTTTATAGGGTTCTGGGTTTAGGGATGGCAGAGAACATACGAAGGTTGTCCATTCACTACAAAGCGTCTGGCTGGGGAGGAGAGTAGGGAGGTGGGGAAGATGCAAAATTCAGACGCAGCCGATGATCTACTCTAATAAATATGTGATAACACGTACTAGAATAGACTAGAAAGTATGAGAATATTCCATAATAAACTGGTAGCATCATGGACTTTAACATCCCGAAACCCTAAATGCTAAACCCCTAAGCTCCTAAACCCCTAAACTCCTAAACCCCCAAACCCCAAAACCCTAAACCCCTAAACCCTAAACCCCTAAACCCTAAAGCCCTAAGCCCTAAACCCCAAACCCTAAAGCCCTAAGCCCTCTCCTACCCGCAGAATGAGGTCTTGGCTGCGTCGGAGCATGCCAAGCGAGCACAGGATGCCGGAGAATAGGGGACCCTAATTTATAGGTTAGGGTTAAGGGGTTTAGGGATTTA